ACCAAGGATTGCATATTTAATGGGAAGAGCAAGGAAGAGAATAGAAGACAGATGAATAGAGAAGATGGCGCTCTTCTTTATCTATTCTCTCTCCCTTGTTTCTCCCTTCCCTCTCTCTTTTCGAAATGAGAAAAACAAAAAGGAAGAACTATGAGAAGGAGAAGAGTAAGGAAAGGAACAGAAGAGATAGGCCGAGAGGATGAATATGATGGAGTATTATGGAAAGGCTCACGCGCAAGGAGTCACCCTCTGCTTACCTTTTCACTGCTTTATCATATGAGTTCCTTTCTTGTGTTTTATCAGTTAAAAGGAAGCGGAAGAAGAGAAGGGAAAGGGAAGTGAGAGAGGAAAGATAACAAGGATGCTATGTTTCCCGAAGCGTGCTGCAAGGAATAGAAGAGACAGGAAGCAAGGAGACGGAATCACAAAATAAGGCGCAAAGCTGTACATATCATCTCTCCCTTGTCTCTCCCTATTCCCTTTCGAACTAGAAAAAACCATTCTTGCTTTTCACAGATAGGTTCCCTCTCTCCTCTTCAGGAAATCCCCTTTCCCTTATGTTGCTTTTTGAAGCGAATAAGAAAAATAGCAGATAAGAAGAGAGGAAAGGGTCAATTTCCCTCCCTATCTCTTATGTTGCTTTTCCTTCTTGTGGGGTGTCCCTGTTTCTCTTGAAGATGCAGAAAACGATTGAAAAGGACACCCGTTCCATCGCCCATGTGTAGGGAAAGAGAGAGAATCATGAGCATCAGCTGGGCTTGCTGCCAATCCAACATGGGCGTCCCTTTTAATCGCAGTCTGTGTCCTTTTTTCTCGCTTGAAGATGCAGAAAACGATCCAAAAGCACATCTGTTGGAGGAAGAGAGAAGGAGAGAGGAGAGATACCAAGGATTGCATATTTAATGGGAAGAGCAAGGAAGAGAATAGAAGACAGATGAATAGAGAAGAGGGAGAGACAAAACAAGGCGCAGAGAAGATGGCACTCTTCTTTATCTATTCTCTCTCCCTTGTTTCTCCCTTCCCTCTTTCTTTTCGAAATGAGAAAAACAAAAAGGAAGAACTATGAGAAGGAGAAGAGTAAGGAAAGGAACAGAAGAGATAGGCCGAGAGGATGAATATGATGGAGTATTATGGAAAGGCTCACGCGCAAGGAGTCACCCTCTGCTTACCTTTGCACTGCTTTATCATATGAGTTCCTTTCTTGTGTTTTATCAGCAGAAGAGAAGGGAAAAGCAAAATTGAGCCCAACATTTTAGGACCAGGGCTTGCGATCTGACTCTTTGGAGCAAAAATCGATTCCAAAATCTTAGGGACCAGGGCTTGCGATGTTACTCTTTGGAGCAAGAAATGAGCCCAAAATCTTAAAGACCGGGGCTTGCGATTTCACCTTTTGGAGCAAATACTGGGCCCAAAATCTTAGGGACCAGGGCTTGCAATTTGACTCCGTGGAGCACAAATCGACCCCGAAATCTTAGGGACCAGGGCTTGCGATTTGACTCTGTGGAGCACAAATCGACCCCGACAACTTAGGGACCAGGGCTTGCGATTTGACTCTTTGGAGCAAAAATCGACCCAAAAATCTAAGGGACCAGGGCTTGCGATTTTACTCTTTGGCGCAAAAACTGGGCCCCAAATCTTAGGGACCAGGGCTTGCGATGTCACTCTTTGGAGCAAAATTGAACCCAAAGTCTTAGGGACCAGGGCTTGCGATTTGACTCTTTGGAGCAAAAACTGTGCCCAAAATCTTAGGGAGCAGGGTTTGCGATTTGACTCTTTGGAGCAAAAACTGGGCCCCAAATCTTAGGGACCAGGGCTTGCGGTTTGACTCTTTGGAGCAAAAATTGAACCCAAAATCTTAGGGACCAGGGCTTGCGATTTGACTCTTTGAACCAAAAACTGGGCCCAAAATCTTAGGGACAAGGGCTTGCGATGTCACTCTTTGGAGCAAAAAATGAACCCAAAATCTTAGGGACCAGGGCTTGCGATTTGACTCTTTGGAGCAAAAACTGGGCCCCAAATCTTAGGGACCAGGGCTTGCGATTTGACTCTTTGGAGCAAAAATTGAACCCAAAATCTTAGGGACCAGGGCTTGCGATTTGACTCTTCGGAGCAAAAACTGGGCCCAAGATCTTAGGGACCAGGGCTTGCGATGTCACTCTTTGGAGCAACAATGAATGCAAAATCTTAGGGACCAGGGCCTGCGATTTGACTCTTTGGAGCAAAAATTGAACCCAAAATCTTAGGGACCAGGGCTTGCGATTTGACTCTTTGGAGCAAAAACTGGGCCCAAGATCTTAGGGACCAGGGCTTGCGATGTCACTCTTTGGAGCAAAAAATGAACCCAAAATCTTAGGGACCAGGGCTTGCGATTTGACTCTTTGGAGCAAAAACTGGGCCCCAAATCTTAGGGACCAGGGCTTGCGATGTCACTCTTTGGAGCAAAAAACGAACCCAAAATCTTAAGGACCAGGG